CGGGACCCGTGGCTGCCGCTGACCTCTGCCCTCTGCCCTCTGCCTCCTCCCCACCCACTCCAGCTTGAAGCTTGCCAACGAGGACAGGGAGCAGAAGCTGGTGCTCCTCACGGAGGCACGGGTGGCCGCGGGCAGGGAGGCCGAGGAGCTGCGGGCCGGACTGCAGGAGGTGGAGCGCTCGCGGCTGGAGGCCCGCCGGGAACTGCAGGAGCTCCGGCGGCAGGTACCCGCCCCGGGCCCTTGCCGCGTGCTGCCTCTTGTCCAAATCTCAGAGGAATCCATGAACAGCAAAAGGTGTAGACCCTGTGAGATGGATGGGGAGCTGGCGAACACTTGTAAAGAGCCCGGCAGTAACTATTTCCAGCTCTAGGGGACATACGGTCTCTGTCGCGATACTCAACTCTGCCAGCAGAGCGAGAAAGCAGCCCGACACAGTACGTACACGTGTGGGCGCGTGTTCCATGAACACTTTGTTGATGGGCACCGAAATTCGATTTTATGTCATTCTTCGCGTGTAAGACATAATATTCCTGGATTTAAAAAAAAAATTTTTTTTTTAATGTTTATTTATTTTTGAGACAACGCGAGAGACAGAGTGCAAGCAGCGGAGGGGCAGACAGAGGGAGACACAGAACCCGAGGGGGGCTCCAGGCCCTGAGCTGTCAGCCCAGAGCCTGACGCGGGGCTCGAACTCACGAACCGTGAGATCATGACCTGAGCTGAAGTTGGACGCTTAACCGACTGAGCCACTCGGGCGCCCCTGTTCTTGGATTTTGTTTCCACCATTTCAAAATGAACCATGTCCAACTATTTACAAACATGTAAAAACCGTCCTTGGCTCAGGCTTTCCCAGAAGACTCACAGAACAGGCAAGAGCCCCATTTGGCTGCTAGGCTCTACCTCGTCCAGAGATATCACAGCGTGACTACCAAACTCTCTTCATCTCCCACCAGGGCCCCCCCTTTACCGCTTTGGGCTCCTTCCTGTTGGGTTGATGTCCTGGGAAGCCACAGGAGTGTCTGAAAGGAAGTCACATTTATGTGCCAGGCTCTTGCTGGGTGTTGTGCATGCAGCCCCCTCACTCTAGTGGCATGGGGTAGATGGGCCTTACCCCCCACCTGCTCCTGTGGGGAAATGGGGGCTTAGAACATACCTTTGTATTCCGCTCATCTGAGATTAAATCCCAGTCTGCTGCTTGTGGGCTGTGTGGCTTTGAGCAAGTCACTTCTCCTCTCTAGGCTCCATTATCTATTGAATAAGGATAATGTCAGTACCTGCCCTATAGACAGTGGTGTGAGACCAAATGAGTTCGTACAGTCGAAACGCTTAGAACAGATGTGGACACGTGGTAAGCACTCCGTAGGTCAGGCATCACTGTAGAGGAAGGTGACCAGGAGGCCTGTGGTTCCTGCCCTGCAGAATTCCTTTTCTGATGCGGGTCCACCACGCCCCAAGATAAGTAGTTGCGATTAGGCAATAAATGGAGGTGATTGGTGTCCAGGTGCCTGGCATGGCTGGAGCTCGGTGAAGTTATCTGAAGCAGGTCCCCAGTGGATTCGAGGTGGTGTTCAATGTCTGTGTCCCTGGAGCAGTGGGTCCTGTGTGCTCCCTGTGCCTGGACAGGACAAGGTATAGGGGCAGAGTTGAATGGGCCCTCGCCACCCTGGGCTAGAAGGGGCTGTGGATGCCGAGAGTGGATGCTGGGTCCTACCTGTCTGCTCTCTCTCACAGATGAAGGTGCTGGACGGTGAGAACACCAGGCTGGGCCGGGAGCTGGTGGAGCTGCAGGGCCGCCTGGCCCTGGGCGAGCGGGCAGAAAAGGAGGGCCGGCGGGAGGCCCTGGGCCTCCGACAGAAGCTGCTGAAGGGCGAGGCCAGCCTGGAGGCCATTCGGCAGGAGGTAACTCGGGTGTGGATGGGGAGGGTCTTAGGAGGCAGTTGGGGGTGCCCTG